AGCCAAGGAAACGAGTACAGGAAAATATTGGAAAATGAAAGGGTAAATGGCCAGCCCAGGACAAATCAAAGCTGTGTTGAGTAGTAACAGAAATTTCCTCCAGCAGGCTGCTAAGCAGAGGTTTCAAAAGGAATTTGTAAAACTGATCCTCAACAACGCATTCATCAGATCCAAACTGTACTATGCAAACTCCGTGCTTGTCGGCCTCCCCAACTCCTCCCTCCACAGACTGCAGATCATCCAGAACTCTGCAGCTTGTGTCCTGCCCCTACCCTCGAGAACTCCATCCCGCAGTCCCTCCCTCTTATCCACAAATAGCTATGAGGTGAATGATCAATTTTATTTGGGGGCTTGTTGAACAGGCTACTGGGAGAAAACCCCTTCTCTTTTTGAGAAGTGCCATGGGATCTTTAACATTTACTTGAACAGGCAGACAGGACCTCGTTTTTTGTTGATATTTATTAGATTGACATACTTTTAACGTAACAGGTTTTATTTAAGTGTTAGCCTTGCACTCTTGCCTCTGAGTCTGAGGCTTTGGATTCAAGCCCCGAAATCAGGACTTTGAGTTCACAGTGTAGACTGACCCAACAAAGAACAACAACACGATTACATTTGTATACATTGTGTTCGGGATGTGCTGCATTGTTGGTGGTGCTATCCTCCGCATGTTAACTCGAAGCCCTGTATGCATGTTCAGTTGGACATTAAACATTCCATAGCACTATTTAAAAAAACACAAGGGAATTTCTCATACTGTTCTGGCCAACAATCCCTCAGATAAAATTGGCCATTCGCTTTATGGCTGTTTGTGGGACGTGGCCATGTGTGAATTATTGTGGAATATTATATGGTGTATTGTAGAATTGAACCAAAGCAGACTGTGTGGATTTATTTCAGAAGTAAATATCAAGTAACTCAATGAATGTAAAAAAAATAGATTCAAATCAATGGGCAACCTTTTTTTCACTGAAGCATAGGTTTTTCAGTGTGCATTCATTAAAACATTGTTTTCAATTTACGATTTACCACATCCTGTTAATTTTAGTACTTCCTTCTTCAAGGTTATTCTAACATTTGACAATTTCACAAGTTCAAAGTCACAGTGGAAAGAATTGAGGATGTTTTAATATCAATGTCTTAATATGCTGTTTAAGGTAATTGCTTTGGCTTCAAGTTTAGCTCTCTTAGTGCTTTCTGAGCTTTTCTAAGCTCCCTTATTGTTGCTAATGTAGCTATATCATTAATAGTTTACTATATCCTTTGTGCATGCACTATTGATTTTGTAAAACTGTCATCGTTTTGATAAGAGAGCACCAGAACTACTGCTATCTTGTTATGATTTTGGTGTTAATAATAATCAATAATATTTAGATACAAAATTACATAGTTACAGTGGGAATCCTGAATTTATCACTTGTTTAGGGATATTGTAGTGAACTAACATTACCAACATAAACATAATACCCTTCATGTAGGTGGCATTTTGGAGAGCCAACTGAATACAGAGCAAACTGAATAATGAGATATTTTCAAATTTTTCATGTGCAAAAGGTTGGTGAGTAACCATTTGCAGATTTCCCCAGATCGAGCAAAACATTGTAATCAGTTGACCTAATTGAAGGCTTTCACCTGTGCTCTTGTGAGCCACTGAATGAGAGATGTAGAAGCATGGCCTTGCAAAGAGCCTTTGTGTCTCCTTGATGTTGGCTATACCATTATAGGAATTTGATGTCACTGTGCTAGCTTCAAATCATTTCCAGCTTCATTATACACTCATCTTTCACTTAGTGTTAGTAAAAACTTATTTTTGCATTCAGTACTCCCAATGCTGAAGGTTAAGAAATAGAACTATGTAAATAAAGCATGTTTCCTGTTTAAATACTTCAATTTGTTTTAATAAAGTTTTGAAACGATGTCTTCAAAGGTGAACTGTGAAGAATGCAAAGTACTTTTTCATTTTATTTTGGATAATTTCACACTTCCTGTCTAACATGGATATTTATCATGACGATGCTGTTGTCAGGCACAGCGAATTGTATATAATTTCTTGGTAATTTTGATCTTGAGCTTCAGGGTGCAGAAAGGAAGAAGCAGCGTTCTGCTTATTTCTTCTTGGTTGGACTCCCCTTGTATTGAGTGCGGGATAAGGGGAATGGGACATTGCACCCATAGTGATTCTTCTGGTAGAATGTACCCATTTCTACCAGAACTTTCAGCAATGTGCTGGTGGTAGATATTGGAAAAATGAAGAACTGCAAGACAGGTTGTATCTATGGTGACAAAACTAGCTGCTCAGAATTTGTCACCATAACTTTTTTAATTCTGGGCTAATGATTACCTTGAATTAGCTCACTTTTTCCTGAAAATATTCCACTTAAATTTTATTTTAAGATTCTGCCTGGATTTGAACAGTTATAAATGTAATTGCATTGACAAACCAAACTACCTGTAAAACACTTATGTATAGAAACTATTTGAGTGCTGTAAACACACCTTGGGGTGATTCTTTCATTTCTATTTTATTAGTGGCCATCTGCTTTTCCTTTCTCTTCCCCTCCCCCCCTTGCCGGTAAAGAACATCCATCCTTCTGTTAGATCTGTAAGGAAGTTCAGCTGCAGGATTGGTTCATATAGTTGAATTATTGAGACATAATTGTACTGTAGATCATTTTTGAATCAGTGTGGTTCTGCAAAAAAATTAGTTTGCTGTGTAAATTGCCCTTGAACATCTTTCTGTTTCTTGCATTTTTTCATCCTTTACATTTGTAATGAACCAGACATTATAAACCCAGTAAGTATGCTAGTGAATACAGACATGAAAGTTATTTGAAGCAAGGCTTCACAGATTTACCAGTAAAATTTGTTTTGCTCAGTGTTTTTGTCATATGTATGGTTCCTATTTTGTCTGGCGTGGAGTACGCACAGTCTTCTTAAAGGGAAGCACCTGCTAACCTAATAAAAAAAAGTGGGGCTTGATCTGATTCCTCTCATCTGAAGAATGATGCCTTCAACAATATTGCATTGGAGTGTCAGTGTAGACTGAGCTCAAAGTCTGAATGTGGCATTTGACCCTATCGCTGCAACTTGCAGAGATGCAGCTAATGCGGTTCTATATCAGTGTGATTTTGTTGGCTGATGAGTTTCTGCTTTCTTTGACTGGTGGGCAGCCTGCTTTAGCATTGTTAAAACTTGTCCATAGAGGGTAGCAGACTCTAAATCTAATATTTAACCTTCAATAGCCTGATAACTCCAGCAGTGGTGACACAGTCCTAAGCATCGAGTATTTTAACTATTTTGAAAGCTGCATGGTTGTTTATGTACTTTATCCATAGTTGATTTCAGTGTCTCTCAATGTGACCCTCTATTACACATAATAGAACTACATTTATTTTGCTGTACAAGATTTTACCTTCGTATAATAATAATCCTTGCATTTGATATAGCACTTCTCACGCCTTCTAGACATCTGAAAGCGCTTCACAGAATATACTGTAAAGTGAATTGACTATATATTTGTGGGTGAAACGCGGCAGCCAATTGCGCACAGCAGTGTCCCACAAACAGTCGTGAATTGAAGAGACCAATTTTTTTTTCTTGAGGGATTATTATTAGGCTTTTGTTTCATAAGTGATTTTCTGTGAAATTATCAAAGTGAATGAATATGGTGTTAAGAACCTCCTTCAATCATCCACATCAGGCACTGCCCCTGGAGCTTTCCTCCCCTGAGATCTCAGTGCCTGCTACAGTACCAAATTTAGTGTCGTAATTAGGAACATATTGAAGTTATTTTGAGCAATGATATTTTACCCTGAAAATGTGAGAGTGGTGGGCTGGTACAATATTTGGACTTCAAACAAAAGACGCCTGAAATTCCATGTTGTCTTAACCTGCTAAAACCATTTAGTCTTTACAATTTAATATCACACAGAATTGTTGAATTGCTAAATTCAGTCTTTATTACAAGCCGATTCTTTTTAATTTTAATGAGACCTGTGCCTAATAGTTTCCGGAATTATTTAAGCACGGTCCCTCCAGGGAAGGAGTGCACATTCCATTCTATCTCTGGGATTTTCATGTGCAGGTGGGATGCATGGAAATCTCAGCTTGGTTTGGATACTCTTCAGCATGGTGATGGGTATCCGTGTGTTTCAGGCTATGATCTTAAATTTTATGATGAAGTGATCTTAGTTGAGGAATTTTGGGTGTTGCCTGTCGCAGAATGCTCGGATGCGAAGTTCCAGATATCCACCATGCTTTATCACTGTAGGATAACGGGTGCTTCCCCAATGGGAATAAAAATTGGAGGCCACCCTGATAGTGGTCAGTAATTGACACTAATAGGTGAAGGCTCGGGAATAGGTCTTAAGACTTTTTTAAAATAAAAAACTGAATTTCCAGTGTTCTATTATTAATAGCAACACTTGGTATTTTCTAAGGATTGAAAAGAAGAAAAATATTAATTGAAATGTTTGTTCAGATGAGGTAAATGTTTATAATTACAAAGTTTCACCAAAAGTGCTATATAATATCATTGTGATGCTGAAAAAAGTTACTCTAAAGTGTTGTCACATTTCATTGCGTGGATGTTACTTATCTCGTTATTTTGCTGGCCTAGACATAAACTATTTATAACCCTCTGTTTTTGATTTCATTGTGAAAGCATGCTTAAAAACTCGTATGTAAATAATTGGAACCATTCCAATAAAAATGGTCTTGGTCAAGTAGATAGGAAATGTAGGATATTGGTTTTCCAAGCAATAAATGTATGTAAGTTTCACAGTAGTATAATTTTTTTTTGTGGTCAATCAGAACAAAAACTGAAAAGTAATGTTTCAAATGTTTTTTGAACCAGTGGACTTGCTTTTTAAACGAGTTATTTTATTATGCATTCCAGTAAATTGTGATGTAGAATGATATTCATTGGTATACTTATGTGACTGAGAGATCTAAAAAAAAAGTTGCTGTTTTTATTTACAGTTTTTTGTATATAATTCCAGATCCTGATCTTAGTACGTGAACTGTGTGTGAACAGTGTGACTGGAAGAAGACTTGTCTACTGGTAAATATTTACCCACTTGATTACTCGTACTATTTTAATACGATAACATTTAATGAAGCACTTCAACTAAACAAGCCAATGATTAAAATCAAATTTTGCAATTGGATATTGAACATAAGCAGAATTGTGATGAGCAAAAGCTATTCACACTACCAAAGCATGTTGCTGTCGTTTTACCTTGTGTTACAACAGTATTCGGCATATTTCAGCGATGCAAGCCTGTTAATGCAACAGGAAGGCACTGGATCCAATGGAGGCAACAACCACAACAAGATTACATTTGTATAGCGCCTTTCACATCAGGAGGATGTCCCAAGGCGCTGGACAGTGTACAGCATTTCAGACTCGAGCTGGGGTCAGGGGGAGAAGGGAGGGGAGGGGAAAGGGGTGGCCGATGGCATGGTCGAAGAGGACAGCATTGAACCTGGGAAAAGCTAGTGTGCAGGATCATTGTTAAATTGTGAAGATAAGCAGGGTCTCCTTGGAGATGAACTGGCTCCAAAGTAACATACCTGGCAATGGAATATCGGAATTGAGTCATCCCTCTGTGGTGGTCTCGGTAGACTGGTTGCTGACCAGGCGGGTCTGCAGTATTCCAGGGCACTGCTGATGACAGTATAATCATCCTGGCTCATCGGAAAGACCTGGAAGGCCAGACCAGTCAGTCACTGGGGGCAGGGAGTCATCCCACTCAGCTCCTGTTATCCCAGCCAAAGCCCTAATGGGTAGGTTGGTCCTAGTTGGACAAGCAGAGGGAAAGCTTGCCGGACAGCAAGCTATTTTCCCCACAAACTATACAGTCAATTCACTTTACAGTCTATTCTGTGTAGTGCTTTGAGACGTCTCAAAGACGTGATAAGGCTCTACATCAAATGCAAAGATTATTACATATATTTTATCTGGCTAGACTCCAGCAATACCCCAACGCACACTCTGGGAACCCCAAAGTTTGGCTCTTGCCAACCTACTTTCCGGAATTAGGTAAACAGGATGAGTCCCTCCAGGGAGAGAGTGAACATTCCATTCCAACAATCTATCTCTGGCATTTCCATGTGTAGGTGGGATGCATGGAAATCTCAGCTTGGTTTGGATACTCTTAAACATGGTGATGAGTTCCGCATGAGTCAGACCAAAAAAAAATAGGTTCAAGCCCAGTGTTGGGATGTTGAGCTCACAGACTAGACCGACTCAGTAAAGTACTGAGCAGGCGGGTGGGTCCGCAGTATTCCAGGGTACTGCTAATGACAGTACAGCCGGCCTGGCTCATTGGCAGGACTTGGAAGGCCAGATCAGTCACTGGGGGCTCAGTGAAGTACTGAGTGAGGCTATGTTGGGGAAATTGACATTCTTTGAACGAGGCATTAAACCAAGGTCCAGTCTGCCTGTTCTGGTGGACGTTAAAGATCCCATAACACTATTTGAAAAGAAAAAGTATCCTGACCAACAGTTCTCCAATAATTGGATGTTTATTTAATGGCTGTTTGTGGGGTCTTACCATGTTGTCTTGGTTCCCGGCAAATGTACAATCACTACACTTGACAACAATTATCTGTGAAGCTCTTTTGAGACGTTTCAACATTATAGATGCTATATATAATATAAAATGGAATACAAGGTTTATTACTCTTTTCAAACTGAAAATTGTACAGTACAAATTATATACTTGAGCTGAGGTGTTGATTTTGTATCAGGGATTAGTTAAAGATCTAGCAAAATTCCTTTTTAACAAGCCATGCAAATAAAAGCTGGTTCAAGGTTTTGCAAACCTAGGTATTTGTATGTTATGGCTATGTTTGCACAATGTTCTCCTGAAAGATTGCACACTCTCAAAGCACCAACATAAAACCCGGCAGAATGAAAGATACTGGTTTGAGCCCCATTCTGCAAACTTGATAATCTCTGTTGCACTGCTGGGAAAGATGTCAAATGATAGTTTAACATCTCCCTATAATGGAAGGAAATATCAGATTTCCTCTGACTCTTGCACTTCTTGGGAGTCATCTTTTTATTTATATGGGTTGATAGTATCATTGATGATCATCTGGAGAGCAAGCTACTTATTTCACCTTCCTTATATCGGAGGCATATAATCATGGGACGGGAGAGGGAGGCAGCTGCAAGAGCAACAAATTGGGGTGAGAAAACATTAAGTGCCCCCGTAGAAGATTAATATGCTTTCAAGAAAGCTATATGCCATTGTCTCTTAATTTTTCCATGACACACACATACCAAAGAGGATAGTGACCTGTTGGTCATCTAAGAGACATCATCAATCTCAACAACTCCATCTCAATAATAATAATAATCCTTGCATTTGATATAGCACTTTTTCACGTTCTTCTAGATGTCTCAAAGCGCTTCATAGAAGACGTGATAAGGTGCTATATCAAATCCAAGGATTATTATTATCAAATGCAATAAAATATCATTATTAAATGATAATAATCCCTCAAGAAACCCCCCCCCAAAAAAATAATAAATTGGTCACTTCAATCCACGACTGTTTGTGGGACACTGCTGTGCACAATTGGCTGTTGCGTCTTGCCCATAAATATACAGTCAATTCACTTTATAGTGTATTCTGTGGAGCACTTTGAGATGTCTAGAAGAAGTGAAAAGCGCTATATCAAATGCAAGGATTATTTATTTTATTATTACAAGAACACATAGAGAATATCAAGCCGTTTCAGTACATTATCAGCCTAATCAGACCTTTGTCTTTCATTGGCTAATCTGTTGAAATGCAGTAGATCTGTCAAGGTCAGTAACATTTTACATTCTTGAAATGTCTCGCATGAGGAATCTTGTTTACTGGCATCAGTGTGCCTTCAGTGGGCATGCATTTCTCGGAACATTTTGAACCATAAAGTAATTTTTACTTTAGTAAAGTAGACACTATTACTTGGTTTTAGGAGTTTACAGTTTTAATTTACTATTACTCTTGTTTTCTAAAAGTGAGAGATCTGGGTTTGATTCCCGGCAGGGTGAAACCTTGGGCAAGTTTCCTCACTCCACACGCCTAATATTAATCCCTCAAGAAACAAAAAGCAATAAAATTGTTCGCTTCAATCCACGATTGTTTGTAGGACACTGCTGTGCGCAATTGGCTGCCGTGTTTCGCCTACACATATACAGTCAACTCACTTGACAGAATACTCTGTGAAGTGCTTTGAGACGTCTAGAAGACGTGAAAAAGCGCTATATCAAATGCAAGGATTATTATTATTCATCTGAACAAATTAGCAAATCAGTTATTTTTAGTCAAACTATTTTAGATTTCCTGATTATTTTGTTCCCATGCCACTGCTCTCTACTGTCTTCTAACTAATTTGATCTTCCTTTTAACTGATCAGTACCTTACTTCAAATGTCAGAAAGTGACAAAGTAAATCTGTTACCACCTCATTCAGTCTCCTAATGTAAGCAAAATGTAATATAATAGTTTTTGACTTTCTCACTGGGCCATGGAGAGTGTTCCGGGCTTCAAAAAAAACATAAGAAGTTCCCCCAATCTTTTCCATGGTTTTAATTTAATTTCATATCCACAGTTAACTTTGGTCACAGCATTCATTGAACAATATACATTTGGAGCACAGAAGAAGGCCATCATGTCTGTACAGGTTCCCTCCATCCCATTTACCTGCCCATTCCCCATGTAGTTCACTTTTTTTAAGTTATTTATCTAATTCCCTGTTGAAGGCCAATACGGATTCTGCCTCAACCACTGCTCCTGGCAGATCATTCCATATCCTAACTACTCTACGAAAACAATTTTCCTAACCTTCCCATTTGCTTGTTTAGTAACTAAAATCGATGCCCTCTAGTTACTTACTCGCTGACCAGTGGAAATAATTTCTCTCTATTGACTCCATAATTTTAAATACCTCTTTTAATTTGACCTTCAATCTTCTGTGTCCCAGTTCCTCCAGTCTACGCTCATAGGCCACACCACTCATTCCCAATATACTTCTAGTAAATTTCCTCTACACCTACCTCTTCTATCACCTTGACATCTTTCTATAATGAACATACCTCAAAAAGCTCAATTCCAGTTTAATTAGTCCTGCAAAACCTTCTGAACATTGATGTAAAATATTGAATGGACGGGGGTGATCATATTTGTTTTCATTTCTTCCCTTTCTCTATCGATAGATCAACAAATACATTAAGCTTACATGTTAAATGCAAATCATAGCCTTTGTTAATCATCGCAAATGATGGCCTTTGTTAAAGGCAAATCGCGTCTAACAAACCTGATAGTTTTTTGATGAATTAAAGGAGAGGGTAGATGACGGTAGTGCAGTTGATGTAGTTTACATGGATTTTCAAAAGGCGTTTGATAAAAGTGCCACATAAGAGACTTGTAAGCAAAATAGAAGCCCATGGTATTAAAGGGACAGTGGCAGCATGGATACAGAACTGGCTGGGAGACAGAAAGCAGAGAGTGGTGGTGAACAGTTGTTTTTCTGACTGGAGGGAAGTGTGCAGTGGTGTTCCCCAGGGTTAGTATTGGGACCACTGCTGTTTTTGATCTACATAAATGACTTGGATATTGTACTCCTTATACCCATGTTTGCAGATGCTACTAAGCCAGGAAAAGTAGTAAACAGTGAGGAGGATGGTAGTAGACTGCAAATGCACATAGACAGACTGGTAAAATGGGCAGACACGTGGCAGATTAAGTTTAATGTGGAGAAATGCAAAGTGATGCATTTTGGGAGGAAGAATAAGGAGAGGCAATATAAGCTGATGGTACAATCTTAAAAGGGGTGAAGGAACAGAGAGACCTGCGGGTTCATGTAAGTAAATCTTTGAAGGTGGCAGCACAGGTAGAGAAAGCTATTAAAACAGCATACGGGATACTAGGCTTTATAAATAAGGGCGTAGAATGCAAAAGTGAGGAAGTTATGATGAACCTTTATAAAACACTGGTTCGGCCTCAGCTGGAGTACTGTGTTCAGTTCTGGGCCCCACACCTTAGGAAGGATGTCAAGGCATTGGAGAGGGTGCAAAGGAGATTTACCAGGATGGTACCAGGAATGAAGGACTTCAGTTTTCAGGAGAGGCTAGAGAAGCTAGGATTATTCTCCTTGGAGCAGAGAAGATTAAGAGGAGACTTAATAGAAGTTTTCAAAATTATGAGGGGATTCGATAGGGTGAACAAGGAGAAACTATTTCCACTGGTGGGTGGGTCGGTAACCCGAGGACACCAATATTTGTTAAAAGAAACAAGGGAGGTGAGGAATTTTTTTTTCACCCGGCGAGTTGTTCGGATCTGGAATGCATTGCCTGAAAGGGTGGTGGAAGCTGATTCAATAGCACATTTTAAGAGAGAAGCAGATAGATATTTGGGGAGGACAAATTTGCAGGGCTATGGGGAGAGAGCGGGTGGGTGGGATTGAATTGGATAGCTCTTCAAAGAGCTGGCACAGACACGATGGGCCAAATGGCCTTCTTCTGTGCTGTATAATTCTATGATTCGGAGTTAGTTCTTGTGATTCGCCTTAAAACTTAAAAGAAACATCACAGAACAGCAGCAAACCACTCACTCAAATGAGTGAGAGGGCATGTTTTTTTTCCCTATTTTTGTTGGGTTTTCGCCCCTTCTTTGAAAGAAACTATTTAGTCAGGTAGGCTTCATAATTGGCAACAGGCTGTTTTCACAAGAGGCAGCAGCCCTTGATCATTCTTCATGTGTAAAATAGGGCAGTGAGGGCCAGCAGGCTATTAAACTGCAGCTATCGCAGCCAAGACTGACTCCCTCCTGGCCCAGTGTCCAGATGGGCATTTCTATTTCAAGGCTTCTTGAATAGCATTTGTGATTCTGAATCTGGCCCTAGTATGGGGATTGTTTTTAACAACCCTGCTGCAGTCCAGGTGAGATTGGCTAACTCAAGTCAAACAAAAAAATTACACTTGGAAACTTCCTGGTATATTATAGCACAGAACCATAGTATTTAATATATTTTTCTTTTAACCATTGTTGGTTAAACTCTTCATATCTAGGAGAGACTGTCTTATTTCAGAATGTCTACTACTCTAGTATTTTTTCAAATAAGTGCTGAAAGTTAGTTATGCAGCTATTGTGACAGCTGATGTACGTTTTCTACAAATTGGAGGATTTTTTTTACTTTGAATTAATTCTTTCTACCTCAGTCAGAAGGATTCCAAAGATGTAATAATCTGCTTGTTTTAACTGACCTTTCTTTCAGTTAGGAAATAAACACTGTATTTTACCTGTCTTCTCATCCTTGTCTCAAGGCAAAAGAAATATGAGACCAATTTAAGTGACAAACAATTTTCATCGCTGTGGAGCTGTTTGCCTATTATATTGAAACTCACACTAGCAGCAATGAAGAATTATGTTCAAAGGTCTATATCAGGCCAAGAATGATTTTGAAATATTGTCATAAATTTAAGAGGAGGGTTTAACTTAAGTCCACTTTAATACTTGGGTGGGTGTTGGGGGGAATAAGAGAATCTGAGTTTGACACTAAACTGGAACTCTACACATCTTCAAATCCAGCCCCAAAACATGCCCTTTGGCCAGGCCTACTGCCCTCTTCCCCCTTTCCTAGTATTTGACACTGTCTTTGCAAAGTGATGTTATCCTTTGTGAAAGTATAAATGTAAGTTGTTGCAGTTGATGGAATGAAGCAATAATTAGTAGTTAGTCACACCCTGTATGAGCTATTCTATAGAGGAAGCTCACCAATCGTTGGAAAAAATGTAAACATTTTTATTTTCCTCTGGCACTGAGTTTACATTTAACCCTTCACATCGTCTGAGTGTATATATTCACAGAATAAAATTTTCATGCTAAAAAAATGACTCAGCTGTTTGGTGTGAGTGCTGCATAACTGGTTGATTAGTCAAAAGAAATTTGGAAAACCCTATTGAACTGAATTTGTCTGAGCTGCCCAAAATAAACTGATAATAATTTTCCACGAACAGCAACAACAGCAATTTACATTCATAGAGTGCCCTTCATAGAAACAAACCACTCGGAAGTGCTTCACAAAATGAATCCGAAGTGGAAGTCGTTATGGAGGCATGTAACTCAACATGCCTGTTGACTGGGTATTTCAGAAACCTGGTGTGAACCAGAATGACAAAAGCTCAATAATGTTGTTGCTTTTATACACACCTACTCACTCACATATATTTAATATATATATATGTACTTAAGGCCACAGTAGATGGTAAGTACAAATTTTAGATTTTAGGTAGAGTTTATTGTTTGATTCAATGGTTAATATAACTCAATTAGCTGGGTATGTATCAATTTCACAAAGCAATTTTGATTGAATTCTGGGGGGCACGCAATCCTCTGACTGATTGGAAAAAAATTATTTGAGGTGGGAATGGGAAGAATGTAGATTTCTTTGCCAGATCATAGCTGGGAAATAATTGTTTGCTGTTTCTTTACTAATGGAAAATTATTTGCAGTCAAGGTTTTTTTTAAAAAAACTATATGCATGTATCTGAGTGTACATGTATCTTTATATGTGCAAGTTATTTTTTAAAAAATTCTAGCCTGCATAAAAGCTTTTCAAAACTGTTTCAGCCAAGTGTAAGTAATTAATGGTAGTAGGACATAGTTGGAACCGTGCTTTTTATACCTGTTGACTTATGAAATTGCTCCATTGTATGTGAGATTGTTTCTTCCCCCTCCAAGTCGACATACTTTTTAAATTTAGATTTTATCTCCTTTTTAACTCTATGCCATTCCTAGGTCATGGATCCAGCTAGGCATCCAAGCTCAAAGTCTTTGCCTTTCGATGCATTTGATGTGGCTTTGAGTAATTGTGTGAGAATAGTTTTGATATTGAGTTGTGATTTTGTGAGATGATGGTGTTGCCACGTGTAAAATTATATGCAAAATTGGCATCCTACTTCATTTTGGCTGAGCGATTTGGAGTGCTGACGTACAGCACTGCCATCAAGTGTTAGTTTAACTTCCTCAAAAATAAAACAAAGTTCTCTTGACTGCAATGTAATGTTATTGTAGCCCATTGTGTCTGCTTTATTAAAATACAAGTTACATATCTGAATGTAAATTGAATCTGTTTTCGATAAGGAGCCTAGAAACTAATGATTTATTGTTCTGGATTCAAAATACCACTGTAAAATACGGCACTATTTGCCTGGAATGAAGAAGTCCACTAAATTTCCATGATAATGTGAATTATACTAATTATTTAAAGCAATTTTGTGATGTGCTCAGAAGTTAGTAATTTTCTGGTCAAGTACACACCATTCCCAGAATATCATTCTAAAAATTAAGTAGAACAGTCAAGTTTCTTTTAAAAAAAATGCTTTTGGGAGGCATCAGTCACTATAACCACTATCTTGATGTACTTTTCCTCAGTGTAAAATCAGGGATTAGTAAGAAATAGGAAAATTGAGTTATAACTAGCATAAATGATACAAAAGGATAATGTGTTCTTTCATATTACAGAATGATTCTGATTGCTTGTTGGTGATGAAGCAAGATCACCAACACTTGCTCTAACATCTACCTGTTTCTTTCTGAGACAAAGATCCTTGCTTTTTCCATAGTAGGATGAATAAAATGTTTGGGTTCTTTTCCTAAGTAGTTGGTGAAATCCAGGTAATCGAGCAGCCCTGTCTATTATGGCATACTGGTTCAATCTCAAACTCCTCAACAGTTCCGTCCCAATTTTAAGTTCCAAATAATGATTACATATGGGAATATACTTACGTTACTTGCCTTTGAAAACTGCAGAAGTGAGCATGAAGACTAATGAGCCATTTTGTTCTTTGCAATTCAGATTGGGAGCCAACAGACTAAGCAGCAACAGTTGTAGGTAAGACCAGTGCTGTTTTATATGATAGCTACTCTACTAATAGAATTTTTGCCATAAGTCTTGCCAATATTATCAATGGCAACCGATATGCATAAGACTTGATAGCGGGTTGGGATATATTTCAAAGGTGCATATACAAATGATTCATGTCAGGTGCTATTCTTGAATGTGTAAGCATAGGCTGGGGGTGGCTAGGGCTAGAGGGGGTTCAGCTGCCTCCTCCAAATCTGTTTGCAGATCATCTCTTTTAAGGGGAGCAGGGAGAGGGAAGCCTTGAGGACCACAACCAGTCGTCCAAGCAGCCCCAACTCGTGACACCCACGGGACTCCCAACGTATCGTTGCCACCTGCCCACTTTGGTCCGGTAAGACCCTTGTCGTGGTGTGCTCACTTCTGATTGACCAATGGACCTGTCAGTCAAGCCAGCAGCTCCCCTGTCTTAAAGGGGACCGATCCTTTATTGAGTTTTTTCAGTTTTCCTCTCTCCCCCCCTCCCGAACATTTTCACCCGCCGCCTATGTGTACAAGCCCAGAATCAATGGGGACATGTTTATGCCATACTGATTATAACCCCACCCCCAAATATACGTGAAAGCTTTAACAAAGTATATCCAGTTATTTTGCAGTGGAAGGCATAAGTGAACAGACTGTATAGATGGTTACTATTTCAAGCTCTAAATTAAGTGGTAAATTATATTTTTAAGTTTTAAAAAACAATCAAATAGCAATCAAATAAATAGCTTTTTTTTGATAAAATGAGATATGTAGGTTTGATTTCCCCATCCACCAGAACAATAGTAGAATAATTTAATTGCTGAGGTTTATTTGGAAACAAGTCTAAAACTTTGAATTGTTGCTGCACTGTGTAGATGATGCTCCCTCTGTTCCCTTCTCTTTCTCTGGCTACCCCTTCAGCCAGCAAAACAAATTGGAAAATTTAATTATAGCCTATAGCTTTTTAAAGCTCTTGAGTCCTGTGATTCTGGGAAAAATGGAAGCCGCTATAGCATTATTTGTTGTGAAAGCTATTTGCATTGTGATTTAGCAAACCTAAAAATAAACTTTTCAGATGAGTACATTCTATTTGTGATTTTTAAAAAAAGCTATTTTGTATCCATTTCTCATATTCAAAATATAATGGTAACTTAAAAATAAAAATTCTGAAAACAAACATTGCCATGTTAATGTTTTGTGTTGAATGTCCTGTCTAAGAATACTAGATGAAAGAAACCTGCTATCCATTTTGCTCAATGTGGAAAATACTTTGATATATACAAGAACATTGTACAATGGAGTAAAGCTGTAACAATTGATTTTTCAAACCTAAAGTTTGAATTAGCGGATAAATCATGAGAGTGAGGATCTTGGATGTAGCTCAGAAAACTATAGATACATTCCTATTAGTTGGGAAATTGAGCTGGTTGAGTATTTCCCATTCCCAACGTGAGGACCAGGCAAAACTATTGCTTACCTTTTCTGAGCATCAAAAAGTGTGAGCCCACAGCTTTTACTCTTCCAAAACTAAAGATCCCAGTGAAAATGGATTTCCAAAAGAACTTCAATGTGCTCACAAAGACCTGTTACCCCCATGTATTTTTTATATAGCGCACTGACCAATAACTAAAACGTATGGAAGAATAATAATTGTATTTAGAATCACTTAATTGTATTCGTATTAACCGTATTAAGATGGCCAGAGGATAGGTGTGAGCACCATCATTTTCATGGCAGATACAACAACAAAATTACATTTGTATAGTGCCTTTCACATTGGGAGGACGTACCAAGGTGCTGGACAATCAGTGTTTCGGACCCGAGCTGGGGGTCGGGATCAGGGAGGGTGGAGGGCAGGTGGGGGGGAAAAAGAGGGTGACCGAAGGCACGGTTGAAGAGGAGGGTATTGAGACAAGTCTTGAAGGAGGCAAGGGAGGGAGCGAGCCGGAGGGACTGTGGGATGGAGTTCCAGAGGGTGGGGGCAGAGTGGCTGAAGGTCCGCCTGCCAATAGTGGGGCAGGTAAGGCAGGGGACGTGAAGCAGGACGGAGCCCGCTGAGCAGGAGTGGGCAGGTTGGTAGGGGGTAGGAGGTCACAGACGTAGGAGGGAGCAAGGCTGTGGAGGGCTTTGAAAGTGAGGACCAGCATCTTGAACTCTGTGCAATGGGAAGCCAGTGGAATTGGGTGAGGATGGGGGTGATAGTGTTGCGGAGCGGGAGAGGACACGGGCTGCAGAGCTGGATGATCTGTAACCAATGGAGGGAGGAGTTGGGGTGGCTGACAAGCAGGGAGTTTGCGTAGTCAAGCCTGGATGTTATGAACGCGTGTATTAGGGTCTGTATTAGGTGGCCTATGGTGTGAGACAGTGGCAGAGCCGGGCGATGTTGCGGAGGTGGGGGAAGGCAGAGCGAGTCATGGTGCAGATGTGGGATAGAAAGGACAGTTGAGGGTCAAAAAAACGCCAAGGTTCCAGACTGGCTCAGTGAGTGGAGTGCATCGTTGGATGGTGATGCTGTCAGCGCCGGAGGTGTGGATGCGCTGACGGGAGTCAATCAGGTGGGTCTCATCCAGGACTTGATGTCTGACAGTGGTCCTGGAGTCTAGGGTGAAGGCAGAGAGATAGAGGTTGGGTGTCATCGGCATACATGTAGAAGTTGCGGATGATGTCACTAAGAGGGAGTGTATAGATATTGAAAAGAAGGGAACCAAAAATAGAGCCCTGAGGAACGCTGCACAGGACGGTGCGGGGGCTAGAGGAAAAGCTGTTTGTGAAGATGAAGTAGACACGGTGTGTTTTCTGCCACCTTTTTCGATAAGACACGTCCGTAACATGGATGGAGTGATGAGGCGAAATGCATCTCTGATAGCTTGTTTTAAGTCCTCTGTAGTCTTGTATCACTGTTTTGTAACAGGGGTACGAGGACTTTGTGGACACCCTGTAGAGTCAGAGAAAGTGAAATGTATGTCCTAAAACTTACCGCTTCAGAAAAGTGCTGCATTTACCATTAAAGAAGATGGATTTTCCTGAAAAGATAAGGAAGATGCACAAATGGTGTACATTTTATAAATTCACAAAGGATAATGTTACATCTGAAGGTGACATCTGTTTTGGTGCAACTGGACAAATAACTGAATATCTCAAAACAATGAATCTGTATTGCAGCAAATTCAGATTATGCTGAAGCCAATTTAATTCAGTTTAGATCCATTCAGTCCCCACCTATGGTTTACTAAGTGCAACATAGAGTACATTATCACTACCATTTGAAATTGCACCATTGTGAATATTGCAGTTCCTTGTTATGTGAAGATATCTTTTTTTTATGTCTGAAACTTTTTTTTGTACCTGTACAGGATGTAGAGTTTGAATGTAGCAAATTGCCAACTATATTCCATGTGTTATTTTTCTGAAAATAACTTGTTTCTGACTAAAGCTTTTGTTAGAAGTAATGTATTATAGTTTTTCATTGTGATAATTAATCACTCATGTGCCTGAAAGTTCAGCTTCACAAAGACACTTATTTTAGAACCCAAACAAACAATATTCTGTTGAGATATTTGCTTTATTGATAAACCATGAAGGTACCTTCATGTTGAGGATTATGGTATTGTATATTTTGTATGTTTGTATTTCTGTGAAAGGTAAGAATGTCACCACCACCCATTGCCAAAACACGACATTAGAGATTGGAAAATATGCTAATCTGTTTACAGATTTGTTTATAAAATATTATGTATTAGCATGTTCTTCATCCTCTGGACATTAGAAAAACGTTTTGTGTATATTTCATCATGGCAGAGAAATCAACAAAGGAAAAAAAAACAAAAGTTAACTGGACAATTGTCTCAATTACAATATATATTTCTGTTAATCATTGTAATTCTTAGCTGTGCGTGTAAAGTCCTGAATAGCTTTACTGACTGTAACATTCAGTTCTGAAACTTCATGGCAGTTATTCCTGTCCTATTGATGCCATATCTATTTCATTGACAGTTACTGCATTTTCTTGGTGCGTGTACAAAACTGATTCCTAAGAAATATTTTATTAAAATTGTTTCATCAATATGTTTATAAACGGTTTTAAAACAATAGGGTTTGAAATATCAACAGTAGAAATTATTGGGTAATAAAGTAAAAAAAATGTTTTTAGGTAAATAAATTTTCATATGTGTGTTGCCTAAAATGTATATTTACTACAAGATTAGGTTTTGACACATCTGGGTGGTTGGTGGGGACAGGATGCTTCTCGTATCATTATTAAGAATTCCTGTTAAATGCTCACATATTAGCAAAATCTTAATGATACCACTTCTATTTTCTAATACTTGTACTGTGAGAGTGGACAAAAATAGCCATTTCTCAATTCCAAGAAAGTTGTCACTTAGTATTTACATTTTTTTGAAATAATTCATGATATAGTAATGTCAACTGTATGCCATTGTGAAATAATACCCTGCATCTATTGTTTTTTAATTGAAGACACGGTAGTGCTTTATTTGAAAAACAATTATGTAGTGATAAAGAAATCCAACTTTTGCCTAACCGTTGATGCAATATAATACAAAATTACATTTGGATAGCACCTTTCACATCAGGGAAACATCTCAAGGCGCTGATGCTTCAATTTGCATCTGTTTCAGAACAACGCTATATATAAGCGCTATATGAATTTGTATTGTATATCCTATTCTATCTTCGACTTTTTTAATACATGATTAAACTCTACTGTTGGGTACCACTCCATCTTATTATATCAAACATGGGAATTAAAATCTATCCAGCTGGATTTGAACCAAATAAAATACCCCAGCTTACTTGTACAATCTTACAACAATCCAGCTAGGTAGGACCAATTGTACGATCATCCAGAATTTGTACTGTAACCACCCAAGTTGTACTCCCATCAGTTGGAGATGTGAAGGTTCAGCATGCCAGGCAGGCTAGCGCTTGAATTGTGCATATATAAGAGCTTATGTTCGTGATCCGACACTCCAGGTAATGCCTTT